CGGTGGAGCTCCCGCCACCTTCCACGATCTTCTATCAGTCCTTTTAGCTGTCGATACGACACGACTCCAACTTTTTCTTTAACTTGCTTGATATAGCTGTGTCTCGGTCTTCCCCTTCCTCTCTTTCCATCTATTTTTCCTTCTATAATGTTGTTAATTAGTTCGTCGTGTCGTATCAAGTGGCTCAACATTTTTCCCAAAAAATATATATAAGTATTTATATCAGTTGTCTAGTACCGATAACACCTGCTCTGGTAACATTAGCACGGAACTCTACACTAAATAAATCTTAATGAAATTTGACTTAAATATTTGTATTACGAGAACGGACACCGACTATATTTTATCCAAAAAAGGAGACAAAGTCGCGGGTAGAACATAGTTACATTTATAAACGTGGTTTTATCTTACATGCGTCATCGAGAACTTATCTCAGTCGGCAAATCGCGGCATGTATTCCTTACAAATTAATTGCTCGATCCGCCACGCTCGTATTTTATACTCGTATACAAACAAAGATAATCGAACCCAGTATAATATCGATACAAGTGACATTTGTCCACTTAACATCTGCATATAATTAATAATTAATTCACAAAACTAAAACCTGTATATATATAATGCAGGGATGTTATGGATATGAAATTTCGGATACGGATATGTTTCGGATATAGGAATGATTATTATACCGGATACGGATACGGATGCAGATATGAAATTATTTCAGATTATCCGTTAGTTTCGGATAATTCCGGTTACGAATATAATTTTTTTAAATAATTTCAAAAGTAAATTACAAACAGCTAATGAAATGCTTACGTAATGTCTCAATTAGGCTCCGCCCCTATCCGATATTGTCCGACACTTTTATTTCGGATTCGGTTACGGTTATAAATATTTTTTTATATCGGATATCCGATAGTTTCGGTTACGGTTAGGGAACTCCTTAACATCCCTGATATAATGTAATATCGCTTGAGAATTAACACAGCGCTATCTAGTTCCATGCTAATCAGAGCTTGTGTTATGTTACTAGGCAACTGATATAATTACATTTTGTTTGTAAATACATACTATATTGTACAAAGAAATCACCCATGCCGATGCAAACAATCATACTCATAAATACAAATATTTTTACCGTGTGAAGATTGAACCAGTGAACAGTGGAAGTAAAGCAGCGTGCGAAAGTGCGCACCAACGAGGTCTATAAACCGAATCATTTTTCATAATACTACATAGTATAAAATATTCAAATAAAATCAAAATACCTTTATTCATGTAGGTCTACTACAGACTCTTATGATATTTTAAATCTACTGTCAGTTCGGAATGTTTTCGAGTTAAGAAGAACTGACGAGAAACTCTGGTCTTTTATTTACAAATGAGCTGCTATTTTGATATATTATATTTGATATAATATTGATTCACTGAGCTATGTACCAATTTTGTATTGCTGTAGCACACACATGCAAGTTTACCCTTATTGAATTGTTATATTGTAGGTACTTGTCATGTGATGTTATAATTAAGACTGTATGTGTGTACTAAGATACAAATAAAAACTATCTATCTATTAAATATGAATGAATGTATTTATTTTATTATTCGGCATTCAAAAATACATATTATTTTTGAATGCCGAATAATAAAATAAATACATTCATTCATATTTTATTTCAGCAGCTCAATGGATAACATGGATCTCTCTATTTATTGCTAAAAACTGTATTAAAATCGGTTGCATGGTTTAAAAGATATAAGCGAACAGCCTGTGGACACGACTTAATTTTATACTACGCAAAGGTTTAGTTTATGGTGCTATTTGTAGATATATTACGTCTTACTAATTTCCATTTTCCATAAGGTGGACCTGCACCTTGTTTGTCATTTTAATTAGATTACAAAAATAGAATATAGTATTAGAATTAATTTCCAACAACAATATTAGCCAATCGACACGATTGAAACCTTCAAGAAAATACTCATTAATTATACCTTCTCAAAAGGTCAGCAACACACCTGCAACTTCTCTAATGTTGCAGGTGCTCATGGGCGGTAGTAACCACTTACCATCAAGCGTAGGGTCTACGTATTTCCCCCTATTGTATAACAAATCTATTATTAAGACTTGCTGATTGTCTTAAAAACATGTTATTAGTCATTTTTTATCATTTTCCCATACGTTTAATATAGTTCTTGATGGTATTTACACAAATTGCGGGTAGTTATGTAAATGTTTAATTTACATTTAGAAGAATAGATACATTTAGAAAAAGATAGAATAGAAATATTGTTACTAATTAGTCGTTTTAAGACTAACTTTTTATTTATAAATAAATGTATGTATTTGTACATTATATATAAGAATTAGTAAAAATCACGGGATCTTACCACTTATATTTATTTGCGGGTAAACTGACTGTTTACCCGTGATCATGGTGGTTGAAACACTACCGAAATATCGGGAACTCAGCAAATAAATATAAAACGTGGTAAGATCCCGTGATTTTTACTAATTATACGTATAAATAATGACCGCGTCAAGTTTAAAACTGTATAAGAATTGTTAATCAAATTCAAATTCAAAAATTATTTATTCATGTAGAACATTTGAGCCGCTTACGTCAAATTTTTCTTCTTCGTCTTCGTTGCTACTGCTCACGACTTCGTCCGCTTGGAATTTAACAAAAAAGAACTCGAGATTATTTTCTAAAATAAAAGTAGCCTGAGTTACTCCTTTCTACAGCAGCTACCTGCCAAAAAAAGTCCCGTGAAAATCGGTCCAGCCATTTCAGTTGGGCTAACGATATACCGTATTCCAACAGTATACCGTTAGCCCAGGCGGATGCACCATTCCATTATCATCCATAAGAATACAAATGTTTATATCGTGCGAGGAATTAAACCTACGATTATCTAAAGTAAGGTGAATTCCTTGATGACCTCCAAGCAATGGTATTTCCGAACCGATACGATATTGAAACCTTCAAGATAAGAGCTTATTCCTCCTCAAAAGGTCGGTAACGTACTTGCAATTCCACTAGTGTTGGGCGCTCATGGGCGGTGGTAATCACTTACCATCAGGATACCGCAAGCTCCTTTACCCCCTGTGGGATAAAAAAGTTCCCCTCCGATCGATCCCCCGTCCAATTCAAATGGGGATCGAAATTACGACGACCTGATCCGAGGTTCGAAACCCTAGCGGTTTCCTCAGACTAAAGTCGTATCCGTCAGGAGGGAGTTGGCCTTCAGCCACTCCATAAGTCCTTCCACGGGTTTGGAGTGCCATCTGCACTCGCCTCGTAACGTCCGGTGAAGCTGTGTAAAGGCCAGCTGCGGCCAACAGCAAGAGTCTTAAAAAAATTGTATAAAAAAATAGAAATATTCTAAATTGCCCCATCACCGGAGTCAAATAATATAATTATATTTGTGTTTGGCGAGCTTGCAGGTTGGCTAATTATAAACTAACAGCTTCGCACTATCCTATCTTGGAATCTTGCTATAAAATTCACTATCAGCCGGTCATCGACCCGGTCTACTTGGACTACAGTTCACATGAGCTCAGGATGTCACAGAGATCGCTGAACGGTATAATTAATTCAAGTTTGTTCGCAGCGCGAATTATATATCGTTGATCATAATGTACATCGTCGCCATATCGATACATATAAATAAAACTGGTGCGTCTGTTTGTAATATTGAAATAACCGTTTTTTACTACATGCATTTGAATATAAATACGATATATATACCAAAATGACATTTAAAAATTTTTTGTCTGTCTGTCTGTAAGGTTGTTCCCGCTAATTTCTGAAATGGCTGGGCCGATTTTGACGGAACTTTTATTGGCAAGTAGCTGATGTAATGAGTAACTTAAGCTACTTTTATAACTAAGTCGCGGAAATAACTAGTTTATTTTTAAAATGGGAGAAATTTCCAATAGTTCATTTCGATCGAGATTTTCTGGTAAGGGTACGAGGGCCACCTGAACTTGAGTGTCCCGGGGCACTGCCCCGCCTACAGCCACAGCGTGAGCGTCTGTTTTGGAATGGCTTCCAGTTTACGTCGTCGGTGTTTAAATTTATAAAGAAAATGAAATTCAATGCGGGATCGCCATAAAGCATAGACAATACAGTCATAAAGGGACCACAGAGACACTTGGAGTTTGTGCACTCGGTCGTTGCTGTCCAGTTTTATCCTATAATATATTACGACTATGTTATCTTTATTACACCAAGGTAGACATTGTAAAAGTGTCTGTCTATCTATTTCAGTTGCAGTGGTCTAGTGGTTTAACACACCACCTTCCGATGGTCTCGGGTTCGATTCTTCACAGTTAGTCAAACATTTGTATTCATGACCCATAACAGAAGACAGAAAACGAGATGGATGGACTGTGTGAAAGTTGATATGATAAGGAAGGTTCATAAATAATTATTAATTACCAATACCAATTAAATTATCAATTATTATAAAAGTAAATATTTTTTTTTTCTTTTGAGAGAAATCTTTGCCCTTCGTAAGGTCCCCCAAACAAATGTTTATACGGGCCAAGGCACTCAAACACAAATAAACTCTATAGCAGTGATTCCCAAAGTGGTCTATATCGACTTCCAGGGGTCTATGACAAACTGCAGCGATCATCTTGTTTTTACTTTATATTTTTAACACTAAACTTTACTACAGTTAGAAATTTACAAAAAATCAATACCAACTAAGAATGGGGTGTCTGGATGTACCAGGGATGTTATGGATAAGAAATTTTGGATACGGATAGGTTTCGGATAAAGGAATAATTATTATACCGGATACGTTTACGGATGCGGATATGAAATAATTTCGGATTATCCGTTAGTTTCGGATAATTTCGGTTACGGATATTAATTTTTTAAAGAATTTCAAAAGTAAAATACAAATAGCTAATAAAATGGTTACATAACGTGTCTCAATTAGGCTCCGCCCCTATCCGATATTGTCCGAAACTTTTTTTTCGGATTTGGTTACGGTTACGGATATTTTTTTATATCAGATATCCGCTAGTTTCGGTTACGGTTACGGAACTCCCTAACATCACAGTGGTCTACCCAAAACCGAAAAATATCAAGGGGTCTACGACACAAAAAAGTGTGGGAACCTCTGCTCTACAGCCAATACCACCACTTGTAATATGGTACGAAGTACTGCCATCTGATGATACGATCGGTGGGCTCCCAGGGATCAGTTGTCTCCGTGCGGTGGAATGGATTCGGTATCTTTCTTGGCTGCTCCTCTGAACCGTACAACGTCAGTTCGATAACTGCCCGGAACGAGAAATAGAACCGAAACTCGATGAACGCTGTCGATTTGAAGTACAGGAAACATTCCACTCTGGTAGAACAAAACAATATATTATATATATAATAGCTACCCAACCCGGCAATGCACGAGTTTACATACACCTGTATATATATATAACCTTTATATAAACGTTTATATAAACCTTCCTGTTGAATCACTCTGTCTATTTAAAAAAACCGCTTCAAAATCCGTTGCGTAGTTTTAAAGATGTAAGTATACATAGGGACAGACAGCGACAGTGACTTTATTTTATACTATGTAATGATATATAATAACAACATATAATATATATATATTAATAACCACTACAGGTAGAATAAGAAAATATAGTAATTAACAATTATAATCCAGGACAATAGTGATAATTTTAACGGCCACAGTGGTCGGTTTAGCTCATCAATTTACTTCCGATGGTAGTGGGTTCGATTCTTCCTACGGTGCAAACATTTGTATTCATGAGTATGATTGTTTGTATTGTTCTGTTTTCAACGTATATTAGATATACATATATTAAAAAAAAACACTTTTTGTCGTTTTGTCTCTACTCAACGATTATCTGATAAAGATTGTTTAGTGATAAGACCGTCTTTTGGGCATCAAAATCTCTTGTCAATGTGTTTCTTGTATTAGAAGTTTAGTTTAATAAAGAATTGTTGAGTAACTACATGTACATATGTTTCCAAAAATTAAAAATAAATATTTATTTATTTATATCAGAAGTATCTTCAAAATCAATAAATTTCTGCACGTAGTTATAAAATATATTACGTTATATGTTAAATTAAAAACATTAATATCAGTTTACTACATTTATAGTACAAGGTCTGCTTACCACAGTCTACGTTCATCAATACCATATAACTTTACCTTCTGTAATCAGGACCCTCGTCCATGCCATGCGCCAGCCCCGTCACGTCTCTGTGGCAATTGTGTTCCACCCAGATAGCCGTATTAGTACGCGAGCTGGTCTCCAGATCCACCACGGCACATAGAAAGCCTGCTATTTGTGATACTGCTACCTGCAAAAATAAAAAGATGTTTTAAAAGTATATCGTATCTATTTATGTAATTTGGAGGTATCTAGGAGGCATATAGTCATCAAACAAAACAACACATGTGAGGTCATATGTGACATGATGTCCATGGGTCCTGGTATAGTATATAGACGACAGTTGCCACTTTCCAATATGAGGCATTGAAATGCTTTCCATTTCAGTTACATAGAAAAACCTTCACGACTGCTATTTCAGATGGGGTGATCAGAGGTTTTATTTAATGAGTGTAATGGTGAAGTCACCTGGGCTACCGGTATATCCTGGCGAGTCGTCTAGCTAGGATGATTAGCTAGCTGAATGATGGGAAGAATTGTCAACAATTGACGTTTCTCTGAGTATATTTAAATGCAGAAAGAGCTTATACCTTAAAAACCCGGCAACGCACTTACAATTCCTCTGTTACGGGCGCTCATCACGGGCGGCAGTAATCACTTACCATCAGGTGATACGCAAGTCGAGTCCCTATACTATGCTGCCCCAGAAAGGGGAGAAAGTATTCAAGGGACAAAGAGCAGAGATTAAATGAGCTAAGAAAAAAGTATTGGGTGTCCTAAAGTAGAATTGATCTTATATATAAAATTCTCGTGTAACAGTTTTCGTTCCCATACTCCTCCGAAACGGCTTGACCGATTCTCATGAAATTTTGTGAGCGTATTGAGTAAGTCTGAGAATCGGCCAACATCTATTTTTCATCCCCCTAAATGTTAGGGGTAGTCCTCCCCTAATTTTTTTATTTTTACTTTAAGGTAAAACAACGTTTACCGGTACAGCTAGTAATTCTATATTTCTTTCTATTGCTAAATAAAACATAATAAAAAACAATATATACTGTTTTAAGTTTGACGCGGTTATTATTTATAAGTATAATTAGTAAATCACGGAATCTTGCCACGTTTTATTTTTATTGAGATACCGATATTTCGGCAGTGTTTCAACCGCCATGATCACGGGTAAACTGAAGAGCAGCGGGTAGATGATAAATAAATCTTTTATTTACCATAAATAAAACGTGGTAAGATCCCGTGATTTACTAATTATACTTATAAAAACAATATAGTTACAAAATAGAAGCCCTGTCCGAAATTCTTCGTTATCAGTATTTCGGAGCTGTCCTTGAAGAGAACATTTCCTCGTGAGCCTCGCGTGCACTGTCCTTGCTCCTTGGGCACGTGGCTGTCACCTGCCAAGAGAGAAGTCCACACAAAAAAATTACGATATCGTCTTTCCTAATCCAAGCGCGATAGCGATACTGAAATTATATATAATTATTATTTTATTAACTATAAAAGTATTTATTTCGATATTCTGAAAATTCATATTATATAATTTATTATTATAAAGTAACCTTTGTACATAATAAGCTTGTAAGGGGAGAGTCTTCTGAAGTAGATCTTGTGCGTGTCCACCATATCCTCAGGGCTCTGGTTGGAGATCACCTCGTCGATCCAAAACAGGTAGTCATGTATGTTGATGAACCGGGCCGGCGCCGCGCACCCCGGTCCCCTCACACCGAAACCTAACTAGTAAATATTATTACATACTTTATTATTGTCTTATCTAAGTAAAATTATCACATAGTACAAAGTCGCTGTCGCTGTCTGTCCCTATGTAGGCTTAAATCTTTATAACTACGCAACGGATTTTGAAGCGGTTTTATTTAATAGATAGAGCTATTCAAGAGGAAGGTTTATATGTATAATACATGTACACCCGTGCGAAGTCGTGGTGAGTACCTAGCCTAAACTATCTGACTAAGGAAACGTTGTATTGTCATATAAATCGAAATACATAATAAATCGCAATAAAAATAGGGTTTGGCGGTAGAGAGATAAAAATTTAAGATGTATGTATTTTTGGTAAATTATAAAAAATCAAAACTTTACTATTCAAATGAACTTAAATTTAAGCACTTTTAAATAATCATAGTTATTCAAAAGTGCTTAAATGCATTCGGAAAGCTGTCTTATCATACGACAACATATATACATCATCAAGGCTTACATACCAGCTTCCAATAGCCCCAGGATTGCCTGGATATGAGGGCGACACCGCCGTCCCAAACGCAGGGCTCCATCTGTGTGTGCGATGCTGCGCAGATCGGGTATGTAGGTGCCATCATTTTGTATGAGAGCTGCAAAACAACATATAAGTATTTGTATTTCTTTAAAATTGTAATATTATAATGTAATAGTAATTTTAATTAGACCAAAGACTAAGATACATAGAAAGTCTGTATCTAACAAATCGTAGCCACTAAATCACGATGTTCCGAGACATTTATTCTATAATAGAACTAGCTGTCCCGGCAAACGTTGTTTTGCCTTAAAATAAAAAAATAAAAATTTAGGGGTGGACTACCCCTAACATTTAGGGGGATGAAAAATAGATGTTGGCCGATTCTCAGACCTACTCAATACGCTCAGAAAATTTCATGAGAATTGGTCAAGCCGTTTCGGAGGAGTATGGGAACGAAAACTGTGACACGAGAATTTTATATATAAGATAACAACATTGTATAATTAACTGACGACTCGCCCCGGCTTCGCACGGGTGTACATGTATTATATATATAAACCTACCTCTAAAATCATTCTATCTACTAAAACAAACCGCTTCAAAATCCGTTGCGTAGTTTTAAAGATTTAAGCATACATAGGGACGGACAGACGGCGTCAGCGACTTTGTTTTATACTATGTAATAATAGCTAAATGGGTTTTTTCTAGCTATTACCAGAAACGAAAACGTATTTTATATTCTAATACTTTATTTGTACATCTTAACACAACTGTGGCCAAGACAAGAATGAATAATTATCTCTAAATATCGTTTACAGACCAGTTTTGTACCCTCACTATTTTTATAAAAATTATGAAACTAACTCGGTCGATATCAATAACATTACTTCTATTTATAATTGAACAATTCATTATTAATCGGCATATAAGATCATGTCAACATTTAATTATTATAAATATATCTGCTATACAGCTCTGTATATTTATTATCGTAACTATTATTTATTTATTTATTTATTTATTTGTACACATTACATCGATGGTTGTAGACAAGACAATTAACAGCAATCCCTGCACTAAGCTCTGGGCTTGTGTCGCAGGAATCAGAAATCCTTAATTACAAAAACATTAACTTAAAACAGGCTCCAGTTCAACGAGGTACAAAATTAACTAATATTATATCGGTACTTTTTTTTTTTTTACAAAGAATAATAATAATTATAATAAAATATTATAATCTAATAATATAATAGATATTAATAGAATATTATAATCTAACAGTAATGATAATGAAGTGTGTTAATATAATAAATGTGTTTATAAAACCTTACCTTAGCTCTGTAGTAGAATTCGGTGCAATCTCTTTTATTAATAAAACTCATTTGACGAATCTCCTTTTGCAGTTCCCCAGACACTGGAAACAATAGTCGGTTATCTTTTTGTGCCACCTTCGATACGGTCAAAGAGTTTTCTAATTAATTATTTTCTCATTTGCGTGGCATGGAACCGATTCTATTATTGCTCTATATATACATATGTTAAATTGGCCGTGCATGTAAATTATAAACAGATATATTCAGCGACGATTTTCGTGTAAAACAAATTCATTACGTCATTTATATACCGGGTCTTAACACGAACTAATTTTATGGCAAATAAAGGTATTTACCTCTCTCGACGTTTCGACTAGGTTGCACTAGCCGTGGTCACGAGCTGACTGGAGTAACAGCGATGGCAATGTAGATAGGTGACAGCAGATTTTTCATCTACCGTCACTAGATTGTTCAACGAAAGTTCGCGAAACACAGCACTCACGGTATCCGTACGCTTATTGACTGTTATTGTTACTGAACTTTGCCTGAATTTATTTGCCTATCTACATTGACATCGCTGTTACTCCAGTCAGCTCGTGACCACGGCTAGTGCAACCTAGTCGAAACGTCGAGAGAGGTAAATACCTTTATTTGCCATAAAATTATTCGTGTTAAGATCCGGTTAATAATATAAATAATGTATATTAAACACGAAAGTTTAAAAATAACTGAATTCATTAGGATTATGGGTCTTATGTTGTTGGTAATTAAAGCAATATTTTTCGTACCATCGGTCATTCTCACGGCATGCAAATCTGAAAAAGTACCGGAGCCTCTCACAGGCATACATACTGGCAACACTGGTTCTGAAACATTAAAAAAAATCTAGTTCTGTATGACATTAGCTGTCAACGAGTGAAATCAAAATGAATCCATCAGTTCATCAGAAATTAGCAAGAACGAACAGACAGAGAAACAAAAAAATTTTTAACAGTTAATTTTGTTAATTTTCGCTTTTTTTTTTTTGATGTATTAAGCTATATTACTGTAAAGTTTCATCAAAATCCGTTCAGTAGTTTTTGCGTGAAAGAGTAACAAACATCCATTCAAACTCACAAACTTCCGCATTTATAATATTATTATGCAGTAAAGAATAAATAAATAAATAAATAGATACTTACGACTGTTGTCACTAAGTCCAGTTTCCCCATACGTGTTCAGCTCTAGAAGTGCTATAGTGGCCTGCGTCACCTTCTCCAAGTAGTCTGGATGCAGCACGTAGTCAACCACATCAATCGAGTACTTGATTGTGTTACTGTACCATAATATGAACTTTGTGTTGTTCCTTAAAACAAATATATAGACTATTTCTTTTATTTGGCTTCGGGCTATTGTAATGTGTTAAGATCTGTAGCATTACGATCTACATAGATCTATTGTGCTCGCTCTTTTTCAAAGTTCGCTACCTAGACCCGTCAGGGACAAGAATTGAAGGATATTCTTAGGAGTGATGGTTTTATCTCCTCAGAATATAGTGTACACTTTCCAAAGGAGATATTTCGTTTACATGAGTGGGATACAACCACATAGGATGTGTAGTGGCATTCCTCATCTGCTTGGCAAAATGTAGACTAGTTTTACCCCGCGGCGTTACCCATATGTAATAACGATCGATCCCCCATCCAATAACGGCGATCGAAATTACAACAGCCTAAGCTCAGGTTCGAATCCCTAACGGTACCCTTAGAGTAAAGTAGTATCCGTCAGGCAGGATTTGGCCTTTAGCCGCTCTGTAAGTCCTTCCGCGGGTTTGGAGTGCCATCTGCACTCGTGCCCTATCGTTCAGTGAAGCTGTAAAGGCCAATTGTGGCCAACAGCATTAGAAAAGTTTGAAAAAAGGATAGTAGATGGTATGGTGTAAAAGCAAGGCAATAGATGATGAATTTCTAAATTATGGCGCTGTGGAAGATAATTCTAGTCCATGGACAGTAATAGCACAATTTTGCCTATACTATAAAAGTGTTAAAACATAAAGTACTCACATTAAAGACTCTGGCAATATTCTGGCTATATCTTCCGCTGGTGCTATGGCGAATGCTGGGTGCACAAGGATTGCGGCTGTTATTGCAAACCGAGTTTTACCACCTATATCTATAAATAAATATATATATAAACCATCGATTGAAATAATACTTCTACATAAATAATACTTTTGTCAATCTTGCTATTTGTCTTTTTGTATTCCAACAAAATGACGACGACCTCGGTGGTCTAGCGGTCTAGCGGTTCGATTCCTCGCACGGCACAAACATTTGTATTCATGAGTATGATTGTTTGTATCGGTCTGGATGTTTTATATGTATAATGTGTATGTCTTTATAAGAAAAAATATTTATGTATATGTATCAGTTATCTAGTACCCATAATACAAGCTTTAGCTAGCTGAACTTGGGTCTAGATGGCGCTGTGTGAATTATCCTGACATTATTATTATTATAATCAACATAGAAACCGCTATCAATCCTTTTAGATGCCTTGTAGAAAGCTTGTATGCTTTAGCTAGCTTAACTTGTGTCTAGATGGCGCTGTGTGAATTATCCTGAGATTGTTATTATTATTAAATCCTATGTAACACTGAAGTACATTTATTTAAAAGAGCAACCCGCAATATTTTTGCTCGTGCGTCTTGTGATGAGAGTCAACCCTTTTTTTTAACGTGTGGAAAATCTTCAAAAGACCTTCATCCCGCCTGGCGGTGTGTTAGATTTTTCCCCACTAAAAACCCCACAATGTACCTGCAAGCACCTATGCCAGAGTGGTTTCCCATGTGCATTCTACCCCGGCTCTGATGACAAAACCGTCGATGACCCATCACTGATCAAATTCCGACCGTTATTTGATCATTTAGCGGAATTAAACAAAATAATGTAAATCCATCAAGTATAGAAATGGACTTCCGCAAAATAACACATCATCATCATTGCCTTGCCTTTATCCCATTATTTGGGGCCGGCGCAGTAAAACAAAATTCAATCGTTCACACAATCCATCAAGTAAATCCACATTCATATTATACACTTTCCATAAGACATGGTCCTCAATGTTACCTCGACTTTTCTATAACCGCAAAATATATACATTCCTTATTCTGTCATTCAATAACACTTAATTCAATAAATTATTTGTCTATATATACATTATAATTGTTCTATTCTTATTCTACTGCAAGAAGAATACTAATAGTTGAGCGTGTTTTTGTTTTCAATGATGATAAAGGAACTGTGGACCCGCCTGCGCTAACGGTTTACGCTGGCGGGGCACCAGTGAAGGATGATTAGATGAGCACGAGATCAGGTCAGTTAGTCCATCGTGACAAATTCACCTGTAATTTACCACGATGGTTTCCGGATAAGCATGGTGTTAAGACAGTTAGCCCATCTTGACAAATTCACCACGATGGTTTCCAGAGGATCTGTTTGGAGATCAAACTGACATGGTACATTGTTAGCAATGGAGTCAATGTGAACAATGGATCAAACTCCTTCGTTTCGCACGGGTGTACATGTATTATATACTAGCTGTACACATGACTTCGACCGGAATTTAACTTTATTTTTCTAAAATTAAAGTAGCCCAAGTTACTCCTTATTACATCAGCTACCTGCCAATAAAAGTCAAAATCGGTCCAGCCATTTAAGAGATTATCCGGAACAAACAGACAGACAGACAAAAATTCTAAAAAAATTTATTTTGGTGTATGTACCTTATTTATATTCATATGCAAGTAGTAAAATACGGTTATTTCAATATTACAAACAAACACACAATTTCAGTTATATGTAATAAACCCTTGAATCACTATTTATTAAAAAAACCGCTTCAATAAACCGTTGCGTAGTTTTAAACATTTAAGCATACATAGGGACGGACAGACAGCGACAGTGACTTTGTTTTATACTATGTATGATGACATATAGAAATGACTGACCCGCGTATTATCTTCTCTCCCACGTTAAGCGTGTCCTCTCAATTAAAAACTTACAGAAGCTATGTTGAACGACGCCCAGCCATGGGAACCTTCCAATGTCAAAATGATATAATTTCGTGTTAAACTGATCCGAAAAATATCCACAGAACAGTGGAATATTAAAATAAAATAAAATAAAAATATAAATGTATTAATATAAACAAAATGAAATCACACAGTAATTATAAATATGTATAAAACTGCATATATGAAAAATATTTATTAATGTAAAAATGTAATATAAAAATAAAATAAAATAAAAATGTAAATGTATTAATATAAAACATTTTAGTCACTATAATACACACAGTATTACTTTTATATTAATATGTATAAAATGCCGCGTGGAGTTATATATGGATAGGAAATGCATTTTTTACTTTATTATCATGTTTCTTTATTATTATTATTTGTATATTGTGTGCATTTATTTAGTTTTTTTTTTTTTCTTTGTATATAATAAAATTTAATGAATTGTTTGTTTGTAATATAATAAATATGCACCGGTTTTTATTGTGTTCAGATGTGTGATGTAATAAATGTAAATGTAAATTTTTTACTATTTTTGTCTGTCTGTCTGTTTGTTCCGGGTAATATCTGAAATATCTGGTCCAGCCAGGACCGATTATGGCGGGACTTTTTTTGGTAGGTAGCTGATATAATAAGGAGTAACTCAGGCTACTTTTATTTTAGAAAAATAAAGTTAATTCCACGCAGACGAAGTCGCGGGTAGTATACAGCTAGTGAATTCAGGTACAGATAGTAATAAATGAATAATCGTACCTTTTAAAACGTAACATAGAATCACTATATATTTCAATTTCATTATATTAATGGATTATTCATATCGAAGCCAATAATTCCCACCGAGTACAATTACAAGACTGAATAAGAATTGAGAACTGTCTAAACATTATACTTACTGTTTGTCAGTGACAGTCTAAAATCAAAACTAGTGCGTTTCCCACGGGTTTGTTTACTGATTACTTCCCCTCATTTGTGTAGCTTATTACAACAATGTAATGTAACACACTTAAATTACGTTATAATGGTTGTCGAAGGATTTTATACATTACTAGCTTTTGCCCGCGGTTTCGCTCGCGTTAATTTATCCCCTTAGAGGTGGAATTTACCAAAATCCTTTCTTAGAGGATGCCTACGTCATAGTAGCTATGTGCATGCAAAGTCTCAGCCCGATCGGTTTAAAATTGACAAAGTTTCATGCAAACTTTCATCCCCTATTTTATACCCTTGGGGGTAGAATTAATCAAAATCCTTTCTTAACGGATGCCTACGTCATAACATCTACCTGTATGCCAAATTTCAGCCCGATCCGTCCAGTGGTTTGGACTGTGCGTTGATAGATCACTACGTCAGTCATCTTTGAGTTATATATATTTAGACTAGCTGACTTTAACGTAGTTTTGCTATGTAAATTGATATCTCTATAAAAAAATAAGGGTTGGTAGAAGGGTGAAAATGTAGGATTTTTTTATTATTATTTCCTATTAACATATTGACTTCAGCTGTGATTTGATACAGCAGAAGTTTTGGTAGGGCTAATTGTGTTTCACTAGGTGGAAAATTTAGGGTTATATGCATTTTTTAACAAAAAAAAAATCGACCATATAATAATAATAATCTGGAAAGAACCATATTTATCACTTAGTCTTAGAGGATTAGAATTACCTATTCTCAGACCTAACGGGTAAACATAAAATTTCATCAAAATCGGTTAAGCCGTTTCGGAGAAGTATGGCAGCTAACACTGTGACACGAGAATTTTATATATTAGACTAGATTGTTTCCAATTCTAACATAATAATTATCCTGAACAATTCACACAACGTAAGCTAGTGCTAATGTTACCAGAGCAGTTGTTATCGGTACTAGACAACTGATATAAATACTTATATATATTTTTTGGGAAAAATGTTGAGGCACTTGATACGACACGACGAACTAATTAACAACATTATAGAAGGAAAAATAGATGGAAAGAGAGGAAGGGGAAGACCGAGACACAGCTATATCAAGCAAGTTAAAGAAAAAGTTGGAGTGGTGTCGTATCAACAGCTAAAGGGACTGATAGAAGATCGCGGAAGGTGGCGGGAGCTCCACCGACAAGAGCACAGCTCTTAAATTATGAATGAATGAATATATTTTTTGTGAATACATGCATAATATACGTAAAAAAACACTCAGAATGTTTTTACCCGATAATCGAACCCGCGGCCATCTGCAGTAAAGCGGACTGTTAAACCACTAGACCACCGAGACCGTCAATTTCTCCATAACATCCCATTACGCCATATGTATGCACTTTTGCCATCATACAGTGCAGTCACGGCTCTCTCCAAACCAAACAGAAATTAATATAGGAACCGAAGTTAACGAACAAACTCTACATTGAAATTTATATTCAAAAACACATAACAACCATTAAAACGACATGCAATTATAACCCTTAACCTGTAGCAACAAAAGCGATTTTCAAATGTATTGAATGGCTTACAGGTAAGCGGGTATTGAAGGTACGGCATGTTATTTTAAATCTTAATGTGTTGTTATAGAGGTCATTTTGTAATGTATATATTAGCTAAGAGGTAACTTAATACAATTCCTACATAGATTGAACGAGGAACTTAAACTTCAGGCATTGTTCGACTTGTAATGAATTCCACTTGGAAATGTACTTACGGCAGTGTGATTATATAGAAACTAGCTACTCGCCCCGGCTTTGCACGGGTGTACATGTATTATATACTAGCTGTACACATGACTTCGACCGGAATTTAACTTTACTTTTCTAAAATTAAAGAGCCCAAGTTACTCCTTCTTACATCACCTGCCAATAAAAGTCCAGTCAAAATCGGTCCAGCCATTTCAGAGATTATCCGGAACAAACAGACAGACAGACAAAAATTGTAAAAAATTGTTAAAAAATATATGTAAACGTCTATAGCCTTCCTCGAGGAAATAGATCTTCAAAAAGAAGCAATTCCATTTTTTTATATTCGTCTAGTTCCTGAGATTAGAGCATCCAAACAATCAAATGAAAGCTTAATAATACTACATTAATTATTTACCAAATTGCCTTTCTCTATTGCAGCAGAGTGACGTAATAGTCTATAACCATCCTCGAGTAAATAGATCTACAAAAAGAAGCAATTCCATATATATATTTTAATTCGACACTAGTTCCTGAGATTAGAGCATCCAAACAATCAAATGAAAGCTTAATAATATTACAGTAATTATTTACCAAATTGGCTTTCTCTATTGCAGCAGAGTGACGTAATAGTCTATAACCATCCTCGAGGAAATAGATCTTCAAAAAGAAATCATTCCATATATTTTTATTAGTTCGACTCTAGTTCCTGAGATTAGAGCATCCAAACAATCAAATGAAAGCTTAGAATAGAATAGAATAGAATAGAAACAATTCCATAAATATTTTTTTAAATTAGATCCAGTAGTTCCTATATATAGTAAAAAAATAATGGTCTAGTAGATTAGCACATCGCTTTACTTCCAATGAACGTGGGTTCAATTCTTAACACGATACATACATTAGTATTCCTGAGTATCATTGATTGTATCGCTCTGGGTGTTTTCTATGTATATTATGTATGTATTTACAAAAGATCTATGTATTTATATCAGTTGTCTAGCACCCATAACGCAAGTTTTTACTGTGGGACTAGATAACGCTTTTAATTGTCCTGGGCTATTTATTAAGTAATTGTATATATATTAATGGAGTGAATTCAGAAAGGGTGGTTCGTTTTTAATAAGTACGTAGGTTTTATAACACGACATTATAACATAGCGTCCTACAGAACGCACTAGAATGCTGGGAAAGACCCCACGAGGTCACAGAATATACAGCAGTGCTCTAATTACCAACACAATGGTGCAACTGTTTCTTTCATTCACACTGAGACGCAAAACCAATTCACTTGGGGCTGTAATTGTAAAACAAAAACGAAGAATTTATATTATTAACCGGGTCTAAACACGAATAATTTTATGGCAAATAAAGGCATATAATAATTTACCTCTCTCGACATTTCGACGGTTGCACTAGCCGTGGTCACGAGCTGACTGGAGTAACAGCGATGTCAATGTAGAAAATAACTAAAATCGAAGATAACGCATAAAAAAAATCAATCAAATAAACAATAAATATGTAATAATCTTACTCAAAAAAGAAAAAGAAAAGTTACATCGTTCTAGCTTCAAAAATGACAAATTTTTGTACAAAATCATCCCTTTGTTATTTTGTTTCCTTAAGGGTAACATTATACTTAAAACCCTTTTTCTTTATTTCACACTTATAATATTAGTAAACTTTTTTTTTATTAAGTTACGCCCTTATTTTTCATAGACGGAAGGGCCATGCGGTTTTTAACATTTGTTCTGTTCATTTTTTCGTATGAAATATGATAATATGTACTGTGACTTCCCGCAGTACTTCTGTCTATGTATTTCAGCTACCAAGCAGCTTGCTACAATACAGTAAATGCAGAAAAATATCTCAAAATGAAAGTAACATACTAAAATCCAATAAAATAAAAGCAAATAAAACCTACCAGAAGTAACAGATAGACAAAATAAGCGACATCGTATACTATTATTATGTATAAATTAGAGAGATTACTTTGTATTTCAAATTTCACTATTATCATCTTATACTTCCTTATCCCATTTATTTGTGGTCGGCGTATATGTTTTTCTCTTCCATTCATCCCTGTTCACAGTCATCTCGTTATTTACTCCCTTTTTTACCGTATCATCTTTCACGCAGTCCATCCATCTCTTTTTCGACCTTCCTCTACCCTTATAACCGTCCACATGTACAAGTAACACCTTCCTTAAAATAATATCTATATAAGTTTCACTGACATACTTACTTATATAAACTAGTCAATCATAATCCAAATAAGAGACAACAACTGTAATTTTTCACATAAAGGCGTGAAGCCTTCAATCATAAAACATAACCAGGTATCCGACCTCTATAATGCATTACTTGTTTACGCTTTGCTATGTTAATGTGAAGTTATAAAAAAAACGGTCAAGTGTAAGTCGTGAGTTCACAATTAGTGTCCCGTCGGCGGGCGGTGGCGCCGCGAGCGCAGTTATTAGAAATGATATAATTTTTATTCAAATAAACTTAATTTAAGCACTTTTGAAGTATTTTTTTTTTATTCTACCACTCATTCGGAACGCAGACTCATCACAAGAAGATGAGAAAGAAACTTGTGTATTGCTCTTTGAAATAATCCTTGTAAGGTCACATTTTTGAAGTCGAAACGTTTGAATACAAAACTACCAACTAGCACTAATTTATTAGTGTCACATACAAATCAGTCGTTAGTGATAAGAGCAGCTAAGTTCCTATAAGCAGCACTCGTTCACGAGTATGACGTATAAGCCAGGCATCGCTGCGCTCGGTCATATTTTACGGAGCCTAAAAATGAGACAGCTTTCCTAATGAGCGGTAAATTAAAAAAAATGTGATAATGGATTTTATATTCTATTGTAATAAATTCAAATTCAAAATATCTTTATTCATGTAGGTCTATTACAAACTTATGATATGTCAAATCCACCGTCAGTTCGGAGTGATTTCGAGATGAGAAGGACTGACAAGAAACTCAGCTCGTATTCTTTTCAAATAGATATTGTACATGTTTACAATAATAGAGTTACATTTTTTAATTCAAATTTGGAATAGAGTGACCACCAGGATTTGCTTTGCACCACTATTTGCTTTTGCTATTGCAAAAGCAAATAGTCTAATCAGTGTTCGTAACCCGAAATGACTTAGAGTTGTAAGGTAAATAATTAAGTAGGCAATACAATTTGATGGTAAGTTTATCGAGAGACTACGGTTTTGACTTTTAAACAGGCACAACTGAATACAGCGTAGCGACTATATTAAATACAATGCATAATCATATACATTCATATGCAATTGTAAGGTAAATAAATAAGTAAACAATACAATTTGATGGTAAGTTTAGCAGCCGTAACAACTTGTTTTGACTAGCACATTAAACAGGCCACAACTGGGAAATCACAGCGTAGCGACTACAAATATTAAATACAATGCATAATCATATACATTCATATGCAATTGTAAGGTAAATAAATAAGTAAACAATACAATTTGATGGTAAGTCGAGCAACCGTAACAACTTGTTTTGACTGAGGCACATTATACACGCTTCAAGTGGAATATAACGACGTAGCGACTACAATTATTCAGTACTATGCATAATCATATCAATTCATATGCAATTTCACGCCTGTCCTTTAGAAACTCTTTAGAGTTCTGCTCCGATATAATATAAACTGTATGTTGATATTGAATGTGTACAAATAGATATATTTGAATCTGTTTGTAATTTTATATGTTAGTTAAATACATATGAAAGTATATACGGTACTTACATCAAAAATATTTCTTTTTTAAATATATCAATTTGTTACTAATATGGTATTAGATTTTTTTTTGACAAGCCAATAAATTATTCAAATATTTTTGGTCTGTCTGTTTGTTCCGGCTAATCTCTGAAACGGCTGTGCCGATT